CTGCCAAGACTGGTCCAAGACGACGTATTCCGGTCTTCGCGATTTCCCGTAGACCGTATCCAGTTTTTCCAGGAACTTGAAGAGTCCCGCCTGGGAGAAGTCGGTGAAGGGGTCGGGCCTGAAGAACGCCAGCAAGGGGGTGGTGCCTTGCGGCTCGTTCTCCCCCATCTTGCGACCGCGAGGCCCGACCTCGTTGCGAACCAGCTTCAGAGTGTCTGCGGTGCAGACGCTGTAGTTGAGCTCAAGGTACTCCTCGGGTGGCACCCGGTAGTACTGCTCTTGATGGGCCACCGACAAACACAGGCTTCCCGGTTCCTCCGAGTCCACCGAGACGAAAAGAGGCAGCTCGTACGGGACGTGAATGACGGCGCCGGCGCTGGAGTACCAGGTGCGCCGGAGGATCCTCCCGAACGGACCGGCGCCGGTGACGTACGCGGTCCGGTTCACCGAGAACGGCTGATCCTCCCCGGCCGGTCGGTTCAACGGCCAAGTGAAGCCGTCTCCCATGCCGTACCACGAGGCGCCGGCCAGGCTGAAGCAGTCCCGGTGCTCCGTCTGCGTCAGCAGCGACGACCACATGAAGTTGTAGCACTGCACCCTGCGGGGACGTCGTCGCATGGATACTCATCAGTGAAAGGGATTTTATGAACATTAACGAATTACTTCATAGTGACAGATGAATCATTTAAAAAAGAATAAAAAATATTTAAAAAACTTTCAGGGTTGATATGACGATATCTGGCGTTAATAGGTAGGAAAAACAGTCATCTCGAGTGAAGTTACTCTCTGGGAAAATACTGAAGGAAGGAATCCCCCATGTACAGTAGAACTCTACAGGGTGGCCACAGAGTCCCTTTGCATGATAAACCATGTTCTCTAACGATTTTTGTCCAATTTTGCAGATTCAATTCAGTTCAATATGACAGACACGAGTGATTATACGATAGAAGAAATACTTGTTAGCAGTATTTGGGTTCATGATCGCAAGAGAGAGCGGATAAGTTGTGAAGACATAAGAGCGCAATTTTGGCCTAGGTTTAATAAGCCTACTCCCTTACATGAAACATTACGGGCATGGGAGAAAAAGGCTTTCTCAACAGGGATTGTTCTTGACGCAAAGAGTTCTGGTCTTCCAGCGTCACGTCGGGATCATGTGGACATTGTTGAAGCTTCCAGTTCAAGATCGCCGCAGAAATCAACGCGGAAGCGTACTTCGGAATTAGGCATTCCTCGTTCAACATTGCAATAAATATTGAAAAAGGATTTAACTCTGAAGCCGTTCAAGCCTGGGCACATCAATGAGCTTAGTGATAGGGACTTGGATACACGTGAGGCTGCTTGCAAGGCACACTTACGATGTTTTCCTACCTATGAATCAAGGCGACACGTTTTTTTCTCAGATGAGTGTACAATTTATCTCAGCGATCAAGCCAGGAATGTTTATTTTTGTTGCAAGGAAAACCCCCATTACTATGAGGAAATTGAGCAGCACCCACCTCATGTCTTGATGTGAGCAGCAATTTCAACAGATCACTTAATTGGTCCAAACTTTTTTGAGAGAAGTGTTGATCACAAGGTGTTTATGAAAATGCTGCAAACGTGGAACGTTCCAAAACTGCGTGAGAGGGATCTCGAATCAAAATGCACCCTGCAGCAAGATGGTGCACCGGCACATCATGCTCTCGCAGTTCGAGAATATCTTAATAACACGTTCAGAGGACGATGGATTTGACGAGGATCTGATATGGCATGGCTACCTCGAGGCCCAGACTTGACAACATGCGATAATTCACGGGGCATTGTGAAGGAGAATATTTCACAACTGCGGCTAACAAATGTTGAAGACCTAAAAACAGCCATCAGGGACAGACATTTATGGTATTCATTTATGGTCTTCACCGTGGAAGAAAATGTCTAAAAGAACATGGACATGGGTCAAACAATGTGCGGAGAACGGAGGGCAACATATGCTGTAATTTCACTGCAAAGGGGCTTTGTGGCCACCCTGTACTTAAGAGTAAGAAGGAAATTCGCGCATTTCCGGTCGAGTCTCCAATCAACGTCCCACTACGTCGACTTGGCGGGGAAGGATCGCGGCGATAGCTAAATTACATTTAGCTATCACCGACTCACACTACGACTATCGCAAAGTTACCCCGCCCCTTCCATCTTTCACTCCTTTCCAAGTTAGGGAGAGAATAGGACTCTGACCCGGATATGTGCTGCTGCAGGGAGACGTAGAGGCGGGCTTTCCCCTTCCATTCCATGCAGAGTTCATCGTAGTCTAGCTCCATCTGTCGGAGGCAGAGGAGTCCAGCGTCCCCTCCGAGTCCCATCCCCAGCTGGCAGGAAAATAAAAAAAAGTGACGTGGCATGCGATTTGCCATTAACGTTATAATAAGGTATAGGTTCTATGCGAGGGTGTCATTACGACATGCATCAATTACTTATGCTAAAAGTAATGCGGGGTGAAGCAAGTGAATGTGTTGGGGACATTGCCCCCGTCCCCCAACCCCCTTCCTTACAATCCCTGAGCGGCCTGAGAAAATTGGCCTACATGTTGCAGGTTTCTTTTGGGCTCTCTGCGGACCGCACATTTGGCCCCATCGATGGGCAGGATACCGAGGGGACGTTTTTCCGCATCGTGCATCCGTTGAAGATGCAGTGAAAGGAAACTGATGCGTTATGACCGTTTTATCCTCGACGGCGACTCCGATCCTGTCGGCTAAGAGGGCGGTACGATCGTTTACGTAACTTTAAATCCCAGCTTCGTAACCACGTATGGAGCACAGAGCCTCTTCAACAAAAATGAAGCCGACTTCACATGGAGTATCTGCTCTCTGTACGTATCCGCAGACGAAGTATGATTTCCCCGATGGCGAACCGCTGCCATCGTCGTTCTGGGATCCGGTTCGCGTCCAGCGCCCTGCGAACGTCTTTCGCACCGAGTTCGCGGTCGTTGTGCGTTGGCTGCCAATATGCATCCCGTTCATTCTTTCCTGGCCGATACCTTCGAGTCTCACGTCCTCGACTTGTTGCCCATTTCAAACCAAAGACTCAGATGTGACCCTCCAACCTTTTTTTTATCTTTAGCATTTCCTTCCCTCGAGCCCGAAAGAACCCCGTTAATACACCTATTCGAAGAAAAACCTAAGCGGCGGAGGCTAGGAAAGGAGATGGCATTCGCCAGAGAAGATCCCGAGCCCCAAGACTGTCGGGTCCGCTTTGCTCTCGGCTCACACATTCTCTACAATGTTTCGCAAATGAATTCGAACCACCTTTAACATGGGGCCCATGCTTTTCTATGGAAGAAGCCTCCCAACCTGGACGGCGGCGGTTTCGTCTCGGCGCCTGGGCGATATTCAACGTCCGTAGGGTGAACTACAGCGGATCGGAAATTGTTGAGGCCAAGATTAAAGTATAAAGGAATTATTTTTCTATATTGGGAGGAACATGATGGGTTGAAATAACAAGGGGTTTACAATAGGGTCCGGGAAGACGTGGAATAAGAAATCGAACAAGGAAAATTTCAAGAGAAACAATCAAGTATTCGTAGAAGGGAGGAAACATAGAAGTCGAATACAAGGAAGGTTGTTATGGAACAATGTGTCAGGCTTTAGATCACAGATTCCATCGTACTTACAGATTTTTTAGGCATTCTGCTGAAAATTGAAAAAATCAAATCAAATCAAGGATGTCGATGGCCATAGCTATCTTCAAATGCACAGTCCAACATAGATTTGAAGTGCGTCGAATATTTGACATTCAGCCTTCGGGACATGAGAATGCATGACTGCCCGACCCGGTACTTGGCAACGATCCTGTGTCTCAACGACTAGTCTATTCTTTCATACGGGCCACGTGACGTCATTTTTGCTGTACGGCAGCTCCCAAGAGACTGACCGATTGATACAATGTTGTGCCATGAAGCGGGAGGGAGACATCTACCAGCTGGACCTCCTCTGGCACCGCATTGGATGCTCCATTGATTTACCATGCGCAATGTTAAAGGTGGGACGATTTCGTTTGCAAAATACACTATGACTCAGCCTCATTCTTGTTCTTGCTGTGGTACAGATTCAATCAGGGGAGGGACATGTGTGGCTCTGCCTCGAATGAAGCTCAGGCACGAATGAATTTACATTTCCCAAATAAGTACTTTCAATTCCACACAAAAATGAGATCTATTGAACTGATACTTTCTCACTCTTTCGAAGTACACTCCTGCTTTCACGATGAAGCGATTTATCTGTCTGAACTGCTTTCGAATGCATTTTCCCAAGTTTTCCCACCGGGTATGGAGCGGACCTCATCCCAGCAGACTGCTGGCTTTGGGGTTACCTCAAGAGCAGTGTTTTACCGCAATGGCCTCGCCATATGCCACAAATTGAAGGAGAGCATACGGCAGGAACTCCGCTCCATACCCTCTGATATGCTTCGAGCAGCAGTTGGGAATGTGTTGTCACGATTGGAGATTCTGACTATCACAAAAGGAAAGCACATCGAACAGCTCTTATAAAAACGTATGCCATATGTGGACCATAGGTACCATCTAGTATTATGACCATAATGCCATCATAAACCACCACATGACTGTGTACGTTTTCTTCCGCATGGTCAAATTGGTATACACACCGAATTTCACTGTGTCCATCGGTTTCCTGGAGGCAGTCTGAACAACGGAAATGACTTTTGAAACGCCCTGTACTCATACTTAAAATAACTCAGACAAAATATATTACTATGTTCCAAAAACCTGCAATGTGAATTTAAAATTCAAAATTTTGCCGTATTAGGCTAACTTAGACCTTCAATAACTTGTTTTGATTCCAGGTGCCGATATGATTCTTCCTCGAAATGATACATCCCTCAAAGCTCTTTTAAGGCATAATAGTTTCATTCTGTTACTCCGAGAGCCTGAAAGTTTGAAAATTTGTTAATTGATCATCTCAAGCAACATCAGGCGCTTAACCCCGCCTGGATCATGTTGTAGGCACGGCAACATATTACACTTGATTTTATGGATTTTATTCGGCTGGGAAACGCCTACGTGCATTTTAACATTTTCAGGTCATGATCCATCTTCCGCTTTACGTTTATCGATGGGTGGCTGTGATGTGTAAGAACTGACAGAGGAGGAGCCAGGATAATAAAAAAAAGTAGAGAAAAGAATTTCTGAAAATGACTCGCTATTCAAAGCATAACTTTCACAATCAGAAGTAATTGAATGTCGAAATTGACCAAATATTTGCAAAATTTTCAACTTAAGTTTCGCATAACAGCTTTTTTTTTAAATAGTAAAAAACAATTAAGTATGTTTTTGGACCATCCTTATAAAGCGTGAAAGACATCCGAAAGCTGGATTAGTTACAAGCATTTTTATTTTGGAATTTTTAGGTTTAAAATTTGAAATGTTCTTAGATAAAAAAAATTTCTATTTTTACGTAATCGAGGCCCAAAACGCATGAATAAGTTATGATTGTCTGGTTTCCCGCTTTGAGATGAGCTATTAACCAGCTTTCTTGCTTGGGTAGTTTGGGATATGCAGTATTTGTCCGAGAAATTATTTTACCCTTTCCTCACAAGCTTCAAAGGGGCACTTCCTGAAGAACCGTTGGACCGAGACAACTCAGATGTTCGAGTTACCAGTTTCCCACACGATGCCTTTTTTGTTTACAGCCAAATTCCAGTCGGTGTAACAACCAATCTCTTGAACACTTGAAACGCAATGACTCGTTTTGTAATTGATAGTATGGGTGCAATATAATCATTGGCGTCATGTTACGCCATAAACAGACGAAGGGGTGAAGGACCTGCTTTCTTCTCATTAATGCACTCCTCCCGAATTAAAATATAAGTAATAAATCAGCCATGCTGCTTGGATGCAAGCCATCCGAAGATGGCGAGGCAATATAAGTCAGATGAAGCTAGCACTTCAATGCGGACGATGTCGGAGTGGACGATGCCGCCCGATTAGTGGAAACTGGTCACTGGCAGGAAATGCGAGTCGGTTGTAACCGGCCAGTTTAACCGAGAGCCAACAAAAACCCCGTAGTATAACCTACTAGCTATGGTCGCGCCTTCGGCGCACTATTACCTTGGATAGTGATTAATTCATTCATTTTTTGCGAAATGGGAAACACGTATTTAAAATACGTCCCCATTGAAATACATGACATATGAGGTCGAAAGTCTTGATTTTTATCAAAATCATTACCTCTATGATTATATGTGTGCCTAACTTGAAATCTTTCCTTGTGTCTCTTTTTGTAAGGGTGGAGAGTACATTTTGAAATACTTCCCTCCAATAATCTAAGTTAAGGAGACATATTTCAAAATTAGGATTTTTCCTCTACTCAGCCATCAAATAGGTACTTCTGAAAGTAGTTTAATTTTTCTGTCTCTGTTTCGTTGGATGAAAAAATTTCAGGAAAATGGGACTTTAAAAAAGTGGCCTAATGGGTTTCAACGAAAATTCTTTTTCCTTTTGAAATGTAGACTCAGGGAACTTCATGCCACCCAGTTTCAGCCTGATACGTTTCCCCTTTTTGCAGGTGGAAAAAATGTATTTGGAAAAGCGACCCACCCAAAAGCTGTGCTCTGAGGAGTATGTGTACCAAGTTTCAGATTTTTAACCCTTCTAGAACATGGTTAGAATTAGCGTCAGTCAGTCAGTTAGTCATTCAGTCACGATCGTCTATACATATTAGAAATGTAGAATTTTTATTTACTCAGCTATGCATCAAGTTCTTCTTTGCCAAGTTTAAACTTTCTTGCGCCCTTTGTTTTGCTGGATCAGAAATTCGAGAAAATACGCCCTTTGCAATATATGTGCCCTCCGGCGTTTCAACCGAAAAGTACATTTTTTTAAATACAGAAATCAATCCTCAGAGAACTACATGCCCACAAAGCTTCAACCTTATACGTTTGCCCTTTTCGCTCGTGAAAAAACATGTTTGGAAAAGCCAACGCACCCAAAAGCTATGCCAGGAGGGGATGCACCATTAAAGCTGAATACTCCCTCAACCCAATAATAATAATATCATGTCACTTATACCTGTGCCAAGTTTCACCTTTCCATTTCTGTCCAATTCACCGCGACAATATTTTTTTTTAAACATCGCCCCTCGAAAAAATTACCCAGGGGATGTATCGAGACTTCACATTTTCCTTTAACTTCATGTCTCAGTAGTAACATTCATGCAAAGTTACAGCTTTCCTTGTTCATCAGTTTAACTGATGCAAAAAAATTATTGAAAACATCTCCCTTTGACATATGCGCCCCCATGGCATTTACTTCCAAAGTCTGAATTTTTCTGCACACAGCATCCCAATAGGTAGTTATGTACTACGTTTCATCTTTCCACACCAGCTCAATACGCCAGGAAAAAAAATTCCATGCAAACGTTGTCCCTTAAAAATATGCCCCCATAGGGCATG